CCAAGCCACATCCTTGTTGTATTTCTTTGGGTTATCCCATATCTGCTTTCAGAACTGCACTGTTTCTTCCTTGTCATGTACTGACTGATTCATTGCAGTTTCTCTATTGATGGATTGGTAGAAATGTTTCTGATTGGATTGAAATTGGAGGTTCTGCCTATAGTTTGCAATTCGGGCTTCATATCTACTGATTTTTCTGGCTATAGCTGTTATCTTTTGCTTTATTATTTCCAGTGCTTCCTTGATCTTCCTTGTTTCTAAGTGGTATTTCTTGATTAGGTATTCTTTGGTCTTCTTGTTCTTCAGCTTCTTTTCTTTCATCTGTTCTAGCTTGCTTGCATGTGATCTTAACTTGCTGATCTTATTTTCTAGTCTAACCTTCCATTTTTGTGGTGCACTGTTTGTTTGTTTTTCTTATTTGTTGATTTTGCATCCCAAGTATTCAGTTATAACTGCCGCTGTGCTGTACATTAGTTGGTTTTTTATTATTATTATTGTTGTTGTTGTTATTATTGTTATTATTATTGTTATTATTATTGTTGTTGTTGTTGTTATTAAATGGTCTGATATATGCTCCACATTTCACCTTGGTTTCCCCCAAGAAAAAGAACAACTGGTTATTTTCAAGTTTTTTCCTCTAACCATATTTAGAATATTTATGTTTCCTTACAAACTTGACCCACCACTCTCTGCACATTTTTCCTTCCTTTTTTTTTTTTTTTTTGCTTTATCACAGAGGTGGGGAACAATGGACCTTTTATGACTTATGAACTTCAACTCCCAGAATTCCTGAGCCAGCTATACCAGTCCACAAGTGATAAAGTAGCCATGGTTCCCCACCTCTTCTTTAATATAATACAACATCCCATCTTTTCTGGAATCACAAACTTGGAAGGGGATTTTTAAACCATTGATTCATTTGTTTACTTCAGGGAAGGGATCCACATTAAAACATCCCTTCAGACAGTTGCTTAACTTATACTTGGTCACACCTAGTAGAGTGGAGGGATAAGTGTGCCTACAAGTGAACGGATCTTATTGTCAGAACTCTTTCTAAAGAAAAATCACATTCTGTCTTCCTGTAATTTAATCCATTATTCCATGTCCTGCACTCTGAAACAACAGAGAATAGATAGCCTCCTAAAACTCATTGGTTCGTTCACATCTACTCCTCATCTCAATTCCAAATACAATAATTAACACTAATTAAAATTATGTAGATGTAACAATACACCATGCTAAGCACCCATGGTGATTTTGTCAGTCACTTTGTCATTTGGAGCCTCCAGAGATATAACCCTGATGCTAATGCAATCTGTGTGGGCATCAAAGCAAGGGCGTGAGACTGGAGAGAAGGTTATATAGAAACATCCACAAATCTAGAAGAGAGCACAAAGGGGAAAATGTTTCTCTGTTTTCACTTCCTTTTTGTTGGTCTACATCCAATGGAGATTTGGGCTCGTGGAGAGGTGCAGGTGGGGCTTTAAAAACTTTCTGTCTGCCAATGTCTTAAATCCTAACCCTAACTCTAACCCAGGGGTAGGCAACCTTGGCTCTTTTATGACTCATGGACCAACTCCCAGAATTCCTGAGCCAGCATGGCTCAGCTTGGAAACCTCTCCCTTTCCCCTCAGCATGACTGGCTCAGGAATTCTGGGAGTTGAAGTTGTTGGATTAAAGTCTTCATCCTGGTTCATCCAAGCTTGTGATAAATAAGCAACATGGTGACTGCTTTAGAAAGAAGGTTGCAGTTTATTGAAGAGCCAGACAGCAAGATTGTTCTGGCAGGAAAGAAGGGGGAAAAAGGGCTGAGCACATGTGGCTAGTAGGTTTTTATACCCCTCTTGAGCCTTTTGTTTCCTGTTCCTGTTTCAGGCTTTGTATTTCCTATGTCACGTATTCTGACCTGAGTGTGCCTTTCTGGTATTCTTTATGGTGATGGGTTAGTCCTATTATCATATCCTGCTTCCCTGGTGATGGGGCTAATGACTCCTAGAATTTGGGTGGGGTATGCAGAATTTAAATGTCTTTGTCGTCTTGATCTCCTAGCTGGGGCCTTTCTGATGGTTTACATTTGCATTTGTACAGGACTGGCTTCTGCTTGGGGGAGGGTGACCTGGGGCTATGAAGGAAAACTGGGCATGCTTTTCTGTCTCTTTAAGATCCTTGAAGGAAATATATTTTTCTGCCCTTTTTAATATTTCCTTCTCTGGGGGGCTAACTTCCCACAAAGTCCACGAGTCATAAAAGAGCCAAGATTGCCTACCCATGCCCTAACCCTTTAAATGAACTCGACTGTCAAATTTAATATGTTAAAACAGAAATAGGGGGTGTGTTCAATTACACAAGAGACCTACCAGGCCCATCTGGAGTTTGTGGCTTTAAATCTCATATCTATCTATCTATCTATCTATCTATCTATCTATCTATCTATCTATCTATCTATCTATCTATCTATCTATCTATCTCTATTTCTATCTCTCTATCTCTCATCTCCTCCCATCCTATCCACCCTTATTCACATTTTGATTGAACATGCCATCCTGATTTATTCATATACTTTTTTTTGAAATGTGAAAAACAATGTCATTGACATTTAAACAAAATCTTCATCTCCTAGTAATAACCTGGAAGCTAATATTTTATCTTCACATGAAAAATATAACAGTCAATATAGGAAGCCACACTGATAATTTATGAAATTATTTTCAGAGCATTCAAAGCATGCAAACTCTATTCGGCTTACCATTGATGCAAAATGCAAATTGCAGTTAGGTTTCTCTCAGCAACAAAATATTGTTACTTAAAACTAATTTGAAAAGTATACTTTTTAATTGATCCTGCTCATTCATCTGTTGTCAATATTATTATCCTCACTTCATTTATACCCACTGAGCTAAACAATCAGAAAAAAACCTAGCAAACTCATTTCATTGTGATTAAAAGATAGATCACTAACTATATATCTTTTGAGGACCTGCAGGAAAGAAAAAAAAACCTAACTTTTCCCAAGAGTTTTAGAATAATTAATTGTGCTATTTAAAACAGTTTTAAATACTAGTTCAAAATCCAGGCAGCAATTACTAAGCAACATCACCAAATCTCAGTGGGATAAAAATCTACAGTCCCCAAAGTTAATTAAACTAATAATTTCTGGGGAGCTTCTCAACCCAAACAGCCAGTTTGAAAAGGAAAAAAACCTGCCTCCTCCCTCTCGTTTAGCACGTGGAAATAACTCCTGGAGACTTTCAGGTTGAGTAAAATAAAAATGTTTTGAATGAATGGATGGATAGATAGATAGATAGATAGATAGATAGATAGATAGATAGATAGATAGATAGATAGATAGATAGATAGATAGATTTACTACAGGCTTCAATAGCTTCCTGCTAGCCTACTTTCCTCCTGGAGTGAGCAGTAGACATAGCATACATTCCCTCCTAGATTCCTTTATATTAATTCATCCAGTCATTCCATTTAGCTTCTGCCCTCCCATTCACAGAATATATAGAAATACTTGAAACTTTCACTGTACTTTGGCAAAGACCAACATAAAACAATGCAATATAAAAAGTTTTAAAATCCTACAATGAAGAGGGAGAACAGCAAAACAAAGAACAAAACAGTCAAGGTATAACCAGCTGCCAGAGCTAGAGAGCTTGAAAACAGAGAACAAAAGGGGGTTGGAATCACATTACTGATCCTGAAACCATTAACATCTAAGAGGATCTGAATAAGTCTTCTAAAAGCAAAAAAAAAAAAAAAAACCCTGGAGCAAAGCTTTGAGAGGCCCCAGTCCCAAGTGGTTTCTAAGGTAAATCTACAATGATTTCCATAGAATTAGCCAATGGGGGGGGGGGCAATACTTGGTGGATTTTAACTACCTTAAACAAGCCAACTTTTGGTCTGCTAAAAGTATAGGGTATTAGGGCCTGACAGTATAGGACTTCTAGATTTCATTTGAGCCTCCTATTATCTCCTGCCTAGAGAGTGGAAAAAAATAGCACAAACGTGTAGTATAGTATAACAATAACAATAATAAAGTTGGAAGGCACCTTAGAGGTCATCTAGGCAACCCCTTGCTCAGGCAGGAAACTTAAGTTGCTGGGTTGTCGACTGGAAAGTTGGCAGCTCAAGACCCAAGTACTGTGTAACAGGGTGAGCTCCCGTTCTTGCCCCAACTCCTGACAACCTACCAGTTCAAACGCAGGCAAATGCAAGTAGATAAATAGGTACCACTTTGGTGGGAAGGTAAGGTTCCGTGTATATAGACATGTTGCATATAGACGTGCTGGCCACATGGCCATGGAAATGTCTTTAGACAACTCCTCAGCGAGGAAACAGAGATAAGCACCACCCCCTGGAGTTGGACATGATTGGACAGGGAAAACCTTTACCTTTTACCTATAGAATAGTCTAATTCTTTATTGCCATCTATCTGTGTGGGTGCAAAAGGTCAACACCCATGATGGCTCATAAGTAATCAATGGTCATATGGATTCCGATATGGTAGTTTAGGTAGAACACCTGGTAGGCACAAGGGCAATATCTGTAAACAGATTGTTCCTCATGGTCATCTGTTTTCTATAGTTGAGCCAAGCTTTTTTCAGCAAAATGTCTCCTCCCTTACTCTACGTAGACTCATGCATTCACCAGGATGATTTCAGCCCAGATATGGTAACCCTATCCATGCTAAGTATGGTACGTGATGACATGTTGCTGTACGTTGCCCAGCAGGATTACATGAAATATGATATTTAAGGTTGCTGCTGTGGTTACAGAAACATTTATAAACAGATTTGGAACAATTCTTTAATATTACTGTTTAGCGCTACAAGGCTACTATTTCTTGCAACCCTCCTCTTTCTCTTACCCTGGATGAACGGCAGGAGAATAATTCTTATTTAATATTGTCTGGATCTGAAGTAATGCAAGTGGTGCTGTCTAGATACTCTGAATGAATTATTTATGATAATGTTTGCAGTTGGAGAATTTCTCACCTCAAGCTAGCCTTTGAATTCTTGCTGTGGGAATCAAACTGGCAGAGGGAGCAATGGTCTTCACCTCCTGGAGGAAAGGCAAGACATAAATATAACAAATAAAATCAAGAAATCATAGGAAGGAAAGACATGTGAATTAATTTAGTTAACTTCTAATAGATTCTTTTTAAAAGCTGTGACTAAGGTTGCAGAACATGCCTGAGATGTGATCTGTTTGTTTTGGAAGTGATAGTGAATCTAGAGTTAAAGAATGACATATACATTGAAAAACCAACAACCAGAGCAGAAAATAATTAAGAAATTTTGGGGAAAAAATGTCTTTCATATACAGATAGTTTTATTTTTTTACTACTGTTTTTTGAAAAAAATGTCTTGATTTGTACATTCTTTGTGAGTATTAAAAAAAAAACACTAACCATTTCCTGTTAGCCTTTCATCTTATCCGTCTCCCCAAATCTCATGGTAAAAACCAGTAGTCTTCAACTTATAACTATTCACTTAGTGACCGTTTGAAATTACAGTGACATTGAAAAAAGTGACTTATGACCATTTTTCACGTTTATGACCACCGCTGCATCCCCTTGGTCATGTAATCAAAATTTGGGTGCTTGGCAACTGGGATGTATTTATGACAGTTGCAAACTCCCAGGGTCAGGTGATCACCTTTGGCAAACTTCTGACAAGCAAAAGTCAACGGGGAAGCTAAATTCACTTAACAGCTCTGTTACTAACTTAACAACTGCAGTGATTCACTTAACAACTGTGGCAAGAAAGGTTATAAAATAGGGCAAAATCCACTTAACAACTCTCTTGTTTAACAATGGAAATGTTGGGCTCAATTGTTGTTGTAAGCAGTGCTTTTTTTGTAAAAAAAAAAAATACCTCCAAATCACAAGACATTGGCTTTATTCTTATTCTTCCCCTCTGCAGTTTGAATATAAAGTATAAAAGACTAAAAAGAGATTTTCGTTGACATCCCAGCCTTTGAACTACCCAAGGAACCGAAACAGCAAAGTTCCGCTGTTGGGCAAGCTTCCACGCCAGCCGCCTTTCTTTCCTCTCGCTTCGCCTCTTTTTAACCTCACAGTCCACCTTCTGTAAGGGAAGGCAAAAGGCGCACTCACCCTCTTGTGAAAGATGGCTTCCATGTTTATGTCTCCCACCACCACCATGGGCTTCCACACCACATGATCCGACCCAGCCAATCAAGCCACGCTCTGGCTGTGGTACTCCAGTGGCTCATGGCTCCTCCTAGAGGAAGCAGACAACGCTGGAGGGGACCCTGCTCACACCGTACTGCCAGCGGGACATTTTCAAAAGCAAATGAGGATAGGAAGGGAAACAATAGGAAAAGAACGCAAGTTTGGAAAATCCGTCGAAAAAAGATGCCGGAACTCTGTTCCGGTGCGTTCTATGAGGCTCACCTATATTCTCAGCCTGCTTTAATATAGGCTAAGGTAAAGCTCTGAAGGAACATTTCATTTTTGACCCAGGCTCATGAAAGGCATCTCTTCCAAGCTGCTTCTTTAACAACTTTCCAGGCTTGTGAAGTCAAGTCAAGTTGAAAAAAGCTTGTGTAGCAAACATGGCTTCATGTTGTCTCTCTGCTCTGATGGGGTAGATTGCCTCAATGAAATGATTCATAGCTATCTTACTTGTAGCTGCTATAAAATGCAACAAGGCATGTAAAATTAAAAGACAGCTCCTCCCATGTAAAGTTATGTATCTTGTGTTGATATATCACACACCCACACCAACACACAAAGGGTTTCCTTTATGGCAGGGGTCCCCAACCTCTGGTCCGTGGACCGGTACCAGTAATAATAACAGATTTTCACCTGGGTTAGTCTTTAAAGTCTTTTAAAATGCCACTAATGTTGTATTTGAATATATATTTACCTTGCAGTAAATGTAATCAGATTTTATTATGATTATCTCTTTTTCTAGGAGCTATTTATTTTTATCCAGACACCAAAATAGTTGTTTTAGAAGCAATTCCTATCATCAAATCTATTTTGATTTGGAGACTATAAGGATGTTGCAACCTCAGTTTCACACAATATTATTTCATTTATTGTTTGATTGCCTCTTCTCACTTCCAGCTCACTATATCTTGATTCAAAAAGAAAAGAAAAGAAAAGATCTTACTCTACTTCAAGTTCAGCTAGGACTTAATCACTTTCAAATGTCTCCCCTAAATGTACTCATTTTTAAAATATGCAAAATGAATAGATACTGAGCATATTGTTGTATAGTGCAAAAGCATTTTACTTGCAGTGAAATTCCCCAGGAGCAAAATATTATCTGTGATTAGGGAATAATGTTCTCTTTCTACCCATTATTATGTCTGGTAGCAACAGGCACTATCCCATTTATTTCAAAATCACTCTGACCTTGAATATTGGGTTTTCCCAACAAAGAACATCATCCATATTTATTAACACAGTGTATATTGTTTTATACAGGAAGAAAATCAGGATAATATTCCTATGCTTTACTACTAGTTTTTAAAGAAAACACACTTTTGTGAATGAATAGCTACTCTGAATAAACCTATTATCAACCTTAAAAAAATGTAGTAAAGTATGTTTAGGCATTCATGGCCAAACAATTATAAATGTGCACTTTCACAAAGAACATACCTTTGTTATTCTGCTATGTAATTCATAAATATTTCATAATTGTGTTAAAATTATTTTAGACTAGATTAGTAATTGAGGATAGAACAAGAGAAATATTTTACAATATGAACTTTATAGTATAATATAAAAAGAAATCCACTCTGCATACATTTCAAACTTTTTTTGTTTCCAATATTGTCCTTGAAAAGATTTATAAAACTTTGATCTAGGGGAATTAAATTTTAAAACTAGTAAATGGCAAATGGAAAATATTGCAAATTGTAAGGTGTTATGAATTAAGTTTTCCATATTTTCTAGATTTTAAGGCTTGAAAACCTTCAATCCTAGGAAGTTAAGTGCTAAAATATTTTTGGGGTGCATTTATGATCTTTTTAATGTCTAATTATTAGAACAACTTTGGACGTACTTCTACAAACTGAATTGTATTCATAAACATCTTCTAAACATCTAAGGCAATAATAGAGGGAGAATGACCAATATAATACTTCTTAAATTTTGAAGAAACATTCCTTCAGAATTTCTCTGAAGGTAGCCTTACAAATAAATATATATCCATATAACAAAAATGAGCAAATTAACAATTCACTTTCTCTTTAAACTATAAAAAAACAGGTTCTCAGCTAATTAAGTATTTAATAATAGTAAAAAGATTAGAGGTCATTGTGGCTCAAACTAAAATGGTTTAGGTCCCCCAAGAAGGATTATGGAATTGTTTCAAGTTGAAATTAAGACAATATTTGTCCAGACTCTGAATTGTTGTAAGATTCAGTAAATACCGTATTTAAAACTCACCTGGAAATTAGGAAAGGGAAAGAGGCTATGGGAATCTAAACATCTCCATTCTTACAGCCTCCAATCATTGCAGAAGAATGAGGGAAACATCTGGATTTCTTGGCACTTCACAAGCAGATTTCATTTCCATACAGATGTAACTTGTCTCAAGAGGGGCTTCACATACGTTCACACTGAAAATTACAAGGGTAATTATTGATACAAACAAGGATAAATGGTATTATTGATATTCATACTAATGGGTTAAGCTCTTAATAAGTAGATAATATGGCAATAAAATAAATACTAATTGCCAACATTGTTACCTAGTGGCAATGTTTGTTGATTTTCTCTTACTGGCAAAGATTGCCAGTCAAATATTTTCCAGTCTATTGCTGAAACGCCTCAAATATTCTGATAATCAGAAGTACAGGATAAGTTACACAGCCACTATACTGTATATAGTGATTGTCCACTCAAAGTTACCATATAATAAAAAGTCATTACAAACTTATTGGGAACTTGAAACTCTGCCACATTTCATGAGAATAGCAAATAGAAAGCAAACTCTTCTCTTTGATCAGCCTTTCTCTGTTGAATATTGCTTCACTGGAACTTAAATATTATGTTTCTCTGGATATATATTCTCTACTTGTGTCTATATTTTTGGCATTTCTCTGGCTAGTGGCTAAACAATATTCTTCCAAATAAACCATCACATCCAGAGGCTTAGAATACTAAGAATACCCCAAGGACCACATGAGTGCCAAAACACATTGTTTATGTGTATTTTTTTCTTTTGATTATGAAGTGTTTAAAGACAGTTGTCCCAGAAAATTTCTGCTACATGCAAATGCCTACTAATGACCAAGTCATTGCCCAGCCAGAAAACATATGGTGAAAGCAGACTCTTGGCTGGAAAAATTACTCAGTTTTGAAGTACTGGATTAAATTTAACAGGTTAGGTGGCCGGGATTTACATAAGCATCCCAAATATTATCTTTTATTCTTTATTAATTATAATGTTTATTTGTCCTTCATGGCAAGCAAAGCTAAATCAGTTGAATTACCAAGAATCTCCTAAGGATGCTTTTCACAACAGGCAGTGATTTTATTAATATGTGTATTTTATTTCATCCTGAGCATAGTCTGAAGCCACAGAATATTGTGGAGCTATCAGTAGTCCTTGTAATTTGCAGTTCAACTTTAAGAAGATTCAAAAGTTCACTTGATCTCTAGGGCTGTTTCTGTAACCCTTGCCTCCCACTGCATAGGCACATGGATTCAATCCCCACTGAGCAGCTAATCCTATAAGAGAATCTACAAAATCTAGGCAACATTCAGAAACAGCTCAGCCAGACACCTCCCGAATTTGCAAGATTAATTAGGTAAATCAGATCATGGAGTCAACTCTATAGGAAAGCTGAAACTATTTTATTGAGATTGGATATGCTGTATCTTTTCCTCCTCCTCTTTAAAGTTCAATGAATTGGGGAGGTGTTTCTTTTTCTTTTTGTCTGAGCCAGTTATGAATATAATGTGTGTATTGTGGACTTCAAAAAAATGCTTTAGCCCATTTTGCTGAGGCATCAGCTTTTGTTTATCTCTATAACAGGGGTTCCCAGCCAGTGATGCTCACACCCCCTGGGGGTGCAAGATGATATTCCAGGGGGTGCGAAAACTTGGCTTTTCAAAATTATAGTGTATATGCATAATTCGTTGCCATTATTTTGAACTTTTGTAAAGGGTGTGGGAATATATCAGAATCGTTCTAGAAGTGCAGAGTAGAGAAAAGGTTGGAAGCCTCTGCTCTATCATTATCTTATGTCAATCTGGAAATGATGTTACCAATGCTTTCTTAGTCTAGAATCAGTTATCATAACTAATTATGCTCTATTTTAAATTGAACTCAGTATTTTCACTAAAATTCAAGCTAGATAGAGAAAAAAATATTTTTAACTCAGGGTTGAACTTTGAGGTCCTTGGTGCTCTCTGAGCTTGGTGATTTTCTTGCAGATGTTTGATTATCAAGCTAGGTAATAGCATCAGTGTAGTGAAATGTCTGCAAGAAAACTACCAAGCTTAGAGAGCACCAAGGACCTCACAATCCAAGCTATCCCTGTCAGGCAGAAACCCATACTTGTCATTTCCAAAGTGGCTCCTTCTGTACTTCATCCTATTTCCTTGATAAACGAAAACTTTATCAGTATCTATTTTTATTATATTTATGGCATATCCACATTCATAATTTAAGCTGGTCCTATCCTGGCTAATAAACCAGTTTAAGAAAATCCTCTCTAGCCTGAGACATTTTGGCAACAGCTTGAAGTTATTCAGCATAAACTACAAGCTACTATGGTATCTCATTAGACAATTTCCCTGCTGAAATGCCCTCTTATCTTTCTGTCCCAGGAAAACAACTACCTTTTTTTTCCTTTCTGTATATATATATATATATCTCCAAGAAAAGCCACCACAGAAAGGAAAAAAAAGGTAGTTGTTTTCCTGGGACAGAAAGATAAGAGGGCATTTCAGCAGGGAAATTGTCTAATGAGATACCAATATATATATATATATATATATATATATATATATATATATATATATATATATATATAAATAAAAACAAAAATGCGACTCTTGGGGGTATTCATATTGTCAAAATAATGATCACCAAGAGAATATCTATCAAAAATAGAATTTAATCCACCAAGCTTTCGTCAAATACATTTGACATCGTCAGGGTTAAAAGGCAAACGCCGGAGGAAGTCTTATATACAGTTGTTTAATGCCTGTTTCCGGCTCCTGGAGCGTGTCATCGGCCCCAGTTGATCGAATTGAGTCCCAAGCACCCCCCCCCCACATCAGCACCTATCCTCTTTCCATTGCTAATTTGCATTCTGTCATACGTTACTCTGTTAGCTGTTTCAGGGTTGGTCAGGTTGGGGGTCAGGATCTTTTCTCCTCCCCTGCTCATAATTCCCCCACCAGAAACAGGCATTAAACAACTGTATATAAGACTTCCCCCGGCGTTTGCCTTTTAACCCTGACGATGTCAGATGTATTTGACAAAAGCTTGGTGGATTAAATTCTATTTTTGGATAGATATTCTCTTGGTGATCATTATTTTGACAATATGAATACTCCCAAGAGTCGCATTTTTGTTTTTATTTCTAATCATACACACACACACACACACACACACACACACACACACACACACATATATATATATATATATATATATATATATATATATATATATATAGGTCTTTGGTTGTTCGGGTTTTCTCCCGCGTAAAATTGGAAGTGTCTTGGCGACGTTTCGACGAAGTCCCATTCGTCATCTTCAGGCTGGTGTTTTCAGCTTCGTGCTTTGAGCAGCAATGTGTGGTCTTAGCTGTTTCTTCCTTTTAACTGCCAGTGGGGGTATGAACTGATTGGGTGGGAGCTTGGCTGTGTTCTGATTGGGTGGAGGTGTGTTCTGAATGGTTAGGGGCTTGGCTGTGCTCTGATTGGCTGGGGGAGTGTTCTGTTTGGTTGTGCTCAGGTTAGTCTGAGTTGCAGAGGGGTTTGAGATTTTGGGCTGCCTTCTTATTTTTTGGCTTCGCGTTCGTGGTCGTGCTTCTTCTTCATGGAGGGTGTCAGTTTGCTTCATGTATGGATTGGGGGGTTTAAAGTGGCTAATGATGCAGCTGTGGTCTGGCTTCTGGTTTGTGGTCGTGCCTCGTCATCGGTGTGGCTTTGGGTTTGTTTTTTGCGTGGATGTGTGGTGGTGACCTCCTGTGTGGTTTTTGTGAGTGTGGGTCTGGTATCATTTTTTGTGTTAGGGAGTCGTTTGTCAATAAGGGCGGGTTTCCAAATGGCTGGTAGGCGGGAGGTATCATCTCGCTTGTTCATGCTGTGTGGGCGTTTTTCTATCTCGATGGCTTCTCTGATTATTCTGTTATTAAAATGTTCACTTTTGGCAATGGTTCTGGTATTTTTAAAGTCAATTTCATGTCCTGTGGCTTTAAGGTGTTGGACCAGGGAAGATGTTGGTTCCTCTTTTTTGACTGAGTTCTTATGTTCTTCAATGCGTGCACTTATTCTTCTGTTGGTTTGTCCGATGTATGTGGTGGGACAAGTGGTGCATGGGATTTCGTATACTCCTTGATTTTCTAATTCAATTTTATCTTTGGGGTTTCTAAGGATGGTGGATATTTTTCTGTTTGTGCAGAATGCTGTTTTGATGTTGTGTTTATGGAGGATCTTACTGATTCTGTCTGTGGTGCCTTTTATGTATGGGAGGAGGGCTTTGCCGTTTTCTTGTTCTTTGTCTTGGATTTTAGTGGGGGTTTCTTTTTGGATTAGGTTTGTAATCTTATTTCTATGGAATCCATTGGATGTTAGTACATTGGTGAGAGTGTGTAGTTCGGGTTTTAGGTGTTGTTCGTCAGCTAAGCGTTTTGTTCTGGAGATGAGTGTCTTGGCTACAGAGTTGATCTGTGCTGGGTGGTGGTGTGAGAGAGCATGCAGATAGCGGTTTGTGTGTGTTTTCTTCTGGTAGATGGTGTGTCCTAGGGAGCCATTGGATTTCTTGTAGACTAAGACATCCAGGAAGGGAAGTTGGTTGTTAGCTTCTGTTTCCATGGTGAACTGTATTTTGGGGTGTAGGCTGTTGAGGTGTGTGAGGAAGTTGTCCAGTTTTTCTTTCCCATGTGGCCAGATTATGAAGGTGTCGTCTACGTATCTGAGCCAGAGTTTGGGTTTGTGATCCAATTTTTCTAGAGCTTGGGTTTCAAAGTGTTCCATGTAGAGGTTGGCAATGACAGGTGAGAGGGGTGATCCCATGAGTGCTCCTTCTGTTTGTTTGTATTTTTGTCCATTATAGATGAAGTATGTGTTGGATAGGCAGTGGTTGGTCAGATCTAAGATGTGTTTGGGGGGGTTATATTTGTTTTGAATAGCTGTCAAGGCTTCTTTGATAGGAACTTGGGTGAAGAGGGATATGACATCAAAGCTCACTAGTAGGTCGCTGGGCTGTAAGTTTTGTTTCTTTATGATCTCTATAAACTGGAATGAGTTTTTTACGTGTGATTCTGCATAGGATTCTGCATAGGGCTGTAGTTGTTTGGCGAGAAATTTGGCTAGGTTTTGTAGAGGTGAGCCTATGGAGCTGACTATAGGTCTGAGTGGGGTTCCTTCTTTGTGT